TTTAATTCATTATACAGGGTCATTATAAAATATTGTAGTCAACTCACCTATGAAAAACAATTGAAATTTTTCTCGTGCCGCTAATCACCAAAATGATTTCAACTCTTTTGAAATGTCACGAACGTCGAAACAAATCTATCAAATGTGTCAAAAATTGATATGCCAGGTTTGCGATTTAATTTCATTTTAAATAGACACGAAAAGACGCCAGGCCAGAGCATTAAGGGTTGCAGTGTTATCGAGCATTTGTGAACGCCACTGCAATACATTTCAGTTTCAAAAATTGTAAATTGTCAGAAAAACGTTTAAGGGCTTTGTCATGAATTACACCTTGGAAAGTCGATTGGCGTTGAACAGAATAAATCATCTGGTCTGTTTTGCAAAGAAGCAATAATTTTTCAAATAATGAAATCCAAAAAGTGAGGTTAAGTTTGTCGAAACCAATGAACACGGTAATTATTTAAAAAATTACATTTTTATAGGTACCCTGAAGGTAAAAATTGTGAAAAATCACGTAATGGACAATAGCAGAGCAAGTCTTATCACAGTTAACGAACACTATGAGTACCCAATGAGTTTTTGCAGTAAATAATTTTGCCAAAGTTGTGATCCCGCGAAAGTTCTGTTTGTAAATTGTAAGGAATCGTCAAAATATTGGTGCAGACATGGTTTGTGACTGGTGCTTTTCTCTTGAAAAAACACAACTGAAAGCCTTGATCTTCATCCCTACAATAGGTGAAAACTGCTATGTCCAAACATTACCTTCAGCTTTGCAGTTTCTAGATATCTGAAACATGCCAGATCTGCATAACAGGAATGTCAAAGAGGTTCTACCCAAAACACGCCCACATGGCCATCCTAATATCAAGATTTTTCAAAATTTCTATAAGAAAAAAGATGAAAAAACCAATAAAATTTCAGGAGCATAGTGTTAAGAGTTCTGTAGCTGATTATGAGATCTCTTGAAACAACAGAATGTTTAATAAAGATTTTTAACTTTCCTAATAGTAAAATTACAATTATTACTAAACAGTAAGTTGAAGTAAGTTTTAAATTAAGAGAATGCAACTAACACCGAAAGAAAAATGAAAGTTACTGAAAATAAAAAACTTTATTGCAGTACCTACATACACTTTCTACATCTAATTTTGTTTATTGATCACATTCATTTACTTGAAAAAGTATCAGGCCTATGAATCGTCGTCTGGAAACAGCTAACCACACACCAACCTTCATTGCGTGTGATGGTGTTTCTTCAAAAGTGTGAGTATTTTCTATACACCAAATTCTGAAGTTCTGTCAGTTGACATAATAGCCTAACAGATGAAACCAGGCTCCATCAGAAAAGAACGACAAATCGAAAATCCCGTTATCGTCCATATCAGCTTGAAACCAACTACAATACCCAACGCGGCAAGGAAAATCAGCTGGTTGCAGCTCCTGAACCAACAAAATCTTGTATGGATGCATATGTAACTTCTCTTTTACGATTTTCTGACATGGGCTGTATGGTACTCCGGACAGTAAAGATTTTTGACAAAGCTTTATTCGGACTTTGTTCCATTCTCATCCTTAAATCTTCAACAACGTCTTCACTAACTTGAGGTCTCCCCGTCGGTTTTCACTTAGAAATGCTACCAGTGTCGTTAAATCTGGCCATAATTCGCCGTATAGCGTCTTCAAAGATTCTTCATCAATGACAACAGAACATTTCACTAGATACTCGTTTTTAGACGCCTCCACAGAGTACACTCCATCCCCATCCTCATTTAACACCCCATTACGGTAATAGGCATGATGATTGCGCCAAAGAACTAAAAAAATCATTTGTAACACTGACCATAGTTATTCCTCTCTGTTCATTACCTGAGATTATTCCACAATGATCTGTAGTTTTGATAAAAACTGTTTTTTGAGACACTTATTAAAGTTCTAACAAAGGGGAAGACAGCAAAAATGAAAACAAGACAAGTCAATTAACGCACAAAGTGAGGGAAAACGTACCAGTACAAACGAAAAAATTATTGACATCTGACAGAATTTGATGAAGCGTTGAAACAGTGCAGCCGCTAATGTCAACTAATGTGGCGCTAAAAATAAAAATTCCAATATTAGTGTAATCCTTTCCACAAAACTGAAAAAGGCGGCACAAAATGTCACCAAAATCATGGCCTTCTTCGACTACAATATTTTATAATGACCCTGTATAAGTAAATTTACTTGTATCATGGTTTAATTTAAGAATTAAGACATTAATTTAAAAAATATATTTTGCGAATTAGTCGATCACATCTTAAATCAGGATTCATTAAATAATCACCATATTCAACTAAATTACCTTGTTCTAAAAATTTATTTCGCAATTCGGATTCGTCATCGAAATAAGCGAATAACGAAATGAATTTGATAACAGGATTAGACACAGATATTAAAATTGATATCAATTAAAATTCTGTAAGTATATGCATTGTTTAAGTATATTATATATATACTTAAACAATGGTATATGTATATAATTTCGGAGGCTTTTACGGTCGGAATGATATACATATACATATACTATACATGATCGTTTTCCGGGTTGGAACCGTGTAAACTTAACCCGGAAAACGATCATGTATAGTGTATGTATAAATATATTAAATCGTTTTAGTAATTAATTTCAAAATTATATCACATTATTATGACAGTCTTAATAAATTTCTCAAAATCTGTTGAGATTCATAAAGTTTGTTCAATAGTTTTTTCGTTTCAAATCTATTAGTATAAAATGTTCGACCTTTGTAACGACAAAAAAATGAATTTTTTGCGTATTAGCTATAAGATTAAATAAATATTTGTTTCAAGCAATGTTGTTTGTGATTATATGTTAATTAGATGCTAAACAAACATTAAATAACTCTAGTGTTTGATGTAAAAACAAATATTCCCTAATTTTCCTATGTCGCTCAGTACTCTTTTGCCCCCAATGGGTATTACTGGTTGCCTAATCATGTTGACAACATTACTTATACGGTTTCCAAACAGCAACGCGCAGTCCAATTATAATAGGTCAATGCACGTATCCACATAACCTGTAATAAGTTTTTATTCGGTGCAGAAACAACCATGGAAAACATTATATGGAGAATATCTCATTGCATACGAGTATTTCGCTGAAAAAGAAAATTCTGTGAAATCAACATTTTGGGCTACATAGTCGTTGTTAAAGTCAACTCTGTTATTATAAAACAGCATAGATATAATCTAAGTACACCAAGTTCTCAAGCAAAAAATATAGGTTATGTTTCCCAGAAATCAAATGTAGTTACAAGAGAAAACTTACGAAAATTTTTAACAGAGGCCCGTGATTAATGTACCTAATGTCAAAGGTAATCTCAAAGAAAGTCAGTCACATTGTCTACAAAACATAATGTTTTAGGTATATTTTTTATTCGAACCTGGTTGTAGGAGTATGCGGAATGGAAGAATTCGAACAATTTTCTTGTATCTACATAACCTATAATAAGCTTTTATTATTATTACAGAACAGATTATTAGCTTACATGCCCATTTTAAATGAAAGTATGAAGCATACCTCTTATTTTTTGGCACTTTTAATAATATTTTTGCTTGCAGAAAGATCTGCAGCAATTGCAAAATAGAGATGGATAGCTATAATAACAAGAACTTTACATGCATTCGACCGAACTTGCAAAAACTGGCAGATAATATATCAAATTTATTACCCAAAAACTCAGCCACAGTTTATGAAAAGCAGTATGAAAATTTTTTTTTTGGCGCAGAAACAACCATGCGAAATATATGGAGAACACCTCATTGCATACGAGTATTTCGCTGGAAAAGCAAATTCTGTGAAATCTTTAACACTTTGGGTGCATAGTCGTAGTTAAAATCAACTCTGTTAATAAAAAACAGCATAGATATATCTAAGTACATCAAGTTTTCAAGCAAAAATATAGGTTACGTTGCCAAGAAATCAAATATATGTACAAGAGAAGACTTACCAAAATTTTTAACAGAAGCCCATGATTAAATGTACCTGATGTTAAAGGTGATCTCAAACAAGGTCAATCACATTGTCTATAAATCATTATGTTTTAGGTTTATTTTTTATTACAAGTTGTAGGAGCATGTGGAATGGATAAATTGAGAAAGAATGACGGCATTCAAGACAAAAACGATACGCTAATAATTAAAATTCCTACGTCTAAAACTGGCAAAGCACGAGAATTTACAAATATGTGTAAAAATATTTATCCAATTGAAATATAGTAAAAATACCTAATTTTAAGACCGCACCATACACCAGACAAATCATTATTTATACATTACATTTGGATAGTGAATGCAGCAGCTGTTGCATTGTACAAATATACCTGCAAACACTTGTAACAAATTATGCAGACACCTCTTTCGACTAAAAGATATATATTTAACTTTATCCATACGTTGTCAACTTTGTTAATAATTGCAATCTTTAACTTCATAAGAAATATGAATAATCTACTTTGGTGTTGTATAGTAGTATTAAATGTTCATAGAATATAATTGCACTTACTACGAAGTAAGCTTTCCTAGTTTTAAGTTGTTTTCTTTTATCTTTGATTATCTTAATTTCTTCAGCCTCTATGTGGCTGTTTTAATTCCAAAAAATTGTTTCTGAATAAACTGATTCATACCACTTTTTCTTTCTTTTACACGAAAACAGTTTAAACTATAACTCCAAATATTTACCTGCCTTAAAACGTGTCAAGCATTCGCTTGTTTGTAAATGATGCAACCACAGAACAGTCAATATAGAAGAAGCGCAGGCTCCATGTATTTCATTGGCAGCAGCAGTGACATTTCTCGACGGTCATGTTGCGATGTAAAAGTGTGGGAAATTCAAATAAATGCATGCTACGTGTATTGCCAGTTGCATACTCCAGCATCGTGTCATACGGATTGCCTACCACTACTTATTTGTTTTATTAATGGAAAGAAATAAAATTCATAAAATTTTACAAACGAAGTATATTAAACATTAAAAGACTAATGTACAATTCAAAAATTAACAATAAAATAAAAAAAAACAATTCTGTTATAAACAAAAAATTAACAAAAACACAAACCTTCCACCATAGTACTTCTAGACGTCAAATGGGAGTACCAGATCCATTCAAGGGTTTCCATTTCCTCCAGGTTATTTTAAAGTAAAAGGTACTCACATTGAGTTCATTCCAAATACTTCGAAGTACGAAGTGATGTTTTGCAATGGTGTTGCCCCTGCTTCAAGCGCAAGCCTCAGTCCTGAAACATGGTTGTTATCAAACAATCAGCACATAATTATATTTTTATTACCTTTCACATAAATTCCACGGTCACTTGCGAGAATTAAAGCCGTGAAACATCTTTTATTCCAAAACATCACACTGCATCGCATAACATTGACATATGTCAGTAAAAGACCGGGAAAAATCTGGAGCCCACAGCCACAGGCTGCATCTGCGCAGTGTGCTACTAGCCACCCCTTGCCCCTCAAAATGCGATGCCGGCGTCTACAAGCTCAATGTCATTCATGTTGCCTATTCGGCAATACAACCTTCACCCCCGTGATGCAACCATAAATACAAATTTGAACACTGATATGACAGGTTTGAGGCTAGGATGTGGTTTTCATATTCTCCCATTACTTGTTGCCTAAATCTGGCGCGAGGCCAAAAGTTATCATTGACGTATATATATATATATATATATATATATATATATATACGTCAATATATATATATATATATATATATATTGTAGTAAGCCGTTTCGAACCAAATTTCCGCGCGCCAAACTTTTGGTAAGAAAAGGGATAGAAATGGAAAGAAACCAAAAACCACTAAGAGGGAGGTGCGCAGAAGGGTCGTATTGGAGAAGGGTGAGTTGCGGCCATATTGACTTCGTCTTGCTTTCGAGTAAGACGTCAAGTTGGTGCTCTCTGCGTTTTCCAAGTGTCTGTGCGTTTTTTTGTTTCCGTTTTCAGCGGTGATTCCTTTCAACGGAGTTCCATCCCTCTGACGAACCAGCGAACGTAAGATTTCTCTGCTCCATTTCGAACAGAGAGAGGCCTTATTTCGGTGGTGAACACGTTTTTGATTTGGAGATCCAAGAGGTATGTTTCCACGTGATTCCGGGTGTGCTGGTGGAAGAAGCGGCGTTGCTTCTCGATGATTACGGAGTAGGTGAGGCGCGGGAACCACACATGTGAGCTTCGCGTGTGTGTCACATACGCGAACGGACGCTACAAAAATGGCGGCACTTCCGGATGACGCCATGGCCGTTAATTTTCGTACTAACCTTTTCAACATAATTTCAATCCGTTTTTAGTAGGGCTTTTCAGGGAATTACGTTAGCTAGGGCAGTTTTATTTAGCGAATGTTATGCGGAAAGTTGGATGGCAATTTTCGAGGTATTATTTTGCGTTGCATAATTTCAGCACGTGTGAGTAAAGTAAATTCAAACGTAATCTGAACAAGTGAATCTTTAACAAAAACAACGTTGAGAACGGCATCAGAAAATTAATAATATTATAGTCTGGGGGACGGGGGATTTTCTTGGTGTTAGTAACATCAATTAATTAGGCACATCAATTTGGCTGACATTATAAAATCTGAGATATTTCAATGGCTTTTCCTCGATTTATTAACCGTTGTTGTAAACTCTAATTCTGGAAAATTTCATGTAAGTTTTCAAATGTTCAACCGTTAAAAAAATAGAAAGGGAAAGTGTTAGGGTGGGGGTACGGGGTGTTGACCGGGGAATTTCAAGGGCGTCCTTTGTGAGCTTTTGTATTAGTCATCGGGGATTTGTTGTTGACCGAAAGTTTTGTCGATGAATTTGAAAATTAATGTTATTGAAAGGAAGGTACAATTCAAAACGAATGAGCACCTACGATTACCTATATGTTATTTATTTTGCATATTTTATGTGTCGTTTGTTTATGTGTTGTTTTGTTTATTTCGTATGTGTTTTTTTTTTGGGGTATTTTGTTTGGGGATGTGTTGAAGGGAGGGGGGTTTGTTTGTTTAATTCGGTCAACAACGTAACTTTGCCCAGACCATTTTAACGCAGTCGTAACTTCTTTGTTTAATGTCAGATAAATATTTCAATAAAATCCAGAGCTTCTTTATTTCCTTTGATAAGAATCAGCGATGTAAATGTAGCTTAATTTAATAAAATCATTGCCAAAATGTGAATAATTTAATCTCTTTCAAAATTCTTGTTCTTTAAAGTTATCGATAAAAACATGAATAACTTCTCACTTCATTTTCTTTATTGTATAAGATTGTTGATCACACGTGCATAATTTAACCTCATTTAAATTTCTTTGTATTTAAAACAAGTATTGATGGAGTGTGGCCAATTAAATTTTGCTGATTGCTTGTCGGAAATCCCAATACTCAATTTGATAGCGCTATGTAACTCGGGGGTCGTGTGGGATGACCGCGGTGGCGTCGGCGACTCCGTGCGGGTGGTTACGGCTCTTGCCAGACTTCCGACCCTGGCTGACTCGTAGTTTACACAGCTGCCTATCGGCGGGGGCAGGAAGGTCAACCTATGTCAGGTGGGTGCGTAAGACCACGCGCGTGAAGTGGTGAAGCAGGAGAACCTCGTGGGCCCTCACGGGGAGTGGGGCCTTCGCCCTGCGTTCGCTGTGCGCCCCCCCCATTTTGTTTGTAGAGGCCACACTGCCATAATATCTGGAACGTTGCCATCCATTTATCTTTCCGAGGATTCCGCGACCTTTTAATTTTGTTTATTGTTGTACTTGTAGGGTTGTTAATCTTTATTCTATGTTCTCAGGTTCGAGTGAAAATAAAGGTTTTTTTTTCTTTGAGGAATAAATTCTTTAAGCTCTTCTGGGACCCTTGGCCAAGGTCTCTTGGGCTCTTATTGGATTTATTTTTCATAGTTTTTTTTTTCCAAATATAAGTTTTTTAAATCCGTCACTCTTCCCGCTCCGCAGTGCGCCAATTTGTATGAACGAACGCCTCCCGCCCGTTTTCAAAACACAATGTAGGGTCCCACTTTTGTAGACGATCACAGCCAAGGCCAAATTTCAAATTTTAGCGGGCTTTTTCAAATTTTGTTCAATGTCAAATAAAAGGCGGGAGGTTTGGGTTATTACAATATATATATTAACGTTTTTATTTATTCAAATGAAATCGCATTACTTACTTATGAAATGAAAATTCTCCACCCGGTGAATATACGCGATCACACACAAAACACTTCATGACTGTCTCTAAATAAACTAATAAAACAAAACAACAATTTGGTTATGTTTTCGATCTATGTTTTGCCTCCTCACGTCACTGAAAAAGCACTGACTGAGAGGGAGCTAGAGCTACGTCTACTACGATCACTGACTACGATGCACAACTACGATGGCTACGCACAGAAAACTTGTTGAGATAGAAAGCGTCTCCTCTTTATCTGTCCAAACAGCGCGCAAAGTGGAACCATTTGGCTTCTCTTTAATCTCTCACCTCACTGATAAGAAATACATGGGGAGCTTACGGAACGACATAAAGAGGTCACTAGCGTCACTAAAGGTGCTCCGACCTTGAAGAACATAGTATACGGAATGTTGGGTTATGGGTAAAGTGACCAGACGTCCCGTTTTGAACGGGACTGTCCCTTTATTGGACCACCTGTCCCGTTGTCCCCATATAATGATCTCGAACGCAAAATTGTCCCGTTTTCTAAAACCGCGCATCACCATCAATATTAAAGCAAATTTGTTCCTCCGAGAAATATAAATACGACTAAAAATATAATATTATGTTGCAATTTAATAATTACTGTCACATAAATGGTGCTTTACTTTAATGAAGCTGGTGATTGCTTCTTATTTTCATAACTACTTATAATACTAAAAATATTTTTAATTTTTGTGAACATAAAATAAAGAAAGAAGATTAAAAAGTTATGTTTATTTTTATTGTTAACCTTCCCACTGGGGTATGTTATGTTATGTATGTATGGTATATCTATATTCTATATTAAATTTATTTTATTAGTAGTATGTATGGACGTCCCGTTTTGACTTAAAAAAAAATGGTCAGTTTAGTTATGGGGTTTAAAAACAAACGTAAAATTTATTTTAACAAAGTAATCAGAGACTTTAATACATAGACTGGCTGTGTCAGGAAAAACGTGAAGTTTTTCGACCGCCATATTGCTTATAACCGTAAGTGCGCAAAATTTGAATTTTCAGGTCACAAAATGCAATTTAAAATGTTAAATAAAAAAGACAACAAATTGTAATTATTTATTTAGCAAAACAATATCTATATGTATATGTAAATTTATTTAAAAATATTAATGTCCTTGAAACAAAATTAATTTCGTGAATTTGTGTCTTAAAGAGATAGCTTTTTCACCCTCAGACTTAAGCGGCACTCATAACCCATTCCGAGAGTCAAATAATTTCTCAAAATTAATTTAAGCAATAAATTAAAATGAGAATTATTTACGTCCAACTAATCCAGACTAAACAAATGTTCATTATGTAGAAAAAAAATGTATGGTCCTACTATGTATTTAAAGTCTCTGAAAGTAATAGATACTTACGATACACGTAAAAAATACTAGAAAATTACAGGCCAAAGAGGTCAACAACTGCAGGTTAAACGAAATAGTTTAATTTTTGATGCGTGCGTGTTTGAGCGGTCCAAGATTTATTTTTAAATTTTAGTGTGTAAAAAATTCTAACTCTAATAAAAACTGAAACGAGGTAATCAAGAGCAAAGTCTTTGCAGGAGTAGTGGAATGGTATTTTTGTATGGTTCGTTTTTTAGCCGCAAACCAGTTAACGACTACGGTGCATAAATTGGGAAAAACTCACAAAATGTATTACCCATTAGCGGAGTATAAAATGCAAAACGTTTAGGTGGCATCATTAAATCGCCAAAAATCACATCTTCATTGAAGACTTTAAAATGTCGCACAATTAAAACAGGATGTACCACTTCGTAAGAATGTGCAAAGTTTACACAAACTTCGCAGAAGTGGTGGTGTAAGAATTTTCGTATTAATGAGTACCTATCCACAAACATACCATAAACAGTTGTGTTCTTTCAAGGTGAGTTTCCGGTACCTCACATCACTTAATGATTGTTGAAGAGGCCAGAATACAGGGAAGATGTGTTGTGGAAGTTTGTTTAAAAGAACACCTTGGCAAATTTTTCATTTCAAATAAAATAGTGTTTCACAGTTGGTTCTTGCACTTGTATCGAAATAATCTGTAGTAAATAGTTTCCGAAATGCTCTTTGGAATTGTATTGGTGTGCGATTTATTTATACAATTCCCAAATTGACGCCTCACAGAGCCAAACAAATATGTCAAACAACCTTTTAGTGAAAATTGTAAACAAATTGTATTCTGTGAAAACTATTAAAAATAATAAGCAAAATGTTTATGTTCCTGAAGTTGTTTTTTATTTTTTTATGAGTGATTTAAAAATATTAAGAGTAAATTAAAAATTTTGCAATTCACTTGTGGATAACAACTTATTTGTCAGACTTGTTAAGGATTTAATAAACGCAGTTTAAAACGTGAAAATTGAATAAAAATGTTTTGCTTGAATATATTAATAATTTACAAGAAAGAAAAAAATGGCCAATGTCACTAGTACATACCAACCATTTTTATTTTTGTGTACAATTATTAGTATTATACGAATCACATACGAATGCTACGAAATATTTGAATCTTCGTGTTTCCCGGGAACGGGCTCCCAAGGTCACATTCGTTCCGCAAATATTGCTGAAGTTTCGTTACTGATCTACTATGATATTCTGTGGATCGACTGTGGCAACACCCAAGGTTAGTTAATAGAGATTAAATGACTTTGGGCAACACCGCCGAATTTTAAATAAAGCAGAAATAAAGTCACTAGAATTTTAAAAACCATTGCACGCCATCGGTGGTTGTTTCCTAAACTATTTGTAGAATTCTACCTAGCCGTCGTCAACCAACCATTTTTTTTAAAGTGAGGTTAATTTTACAAACCGTGTGTATTTGTAATATTGCGGTTCTAAAACACGTGTAAACATAACCACAGATACTAAATACCATTTTTAAAAAGAAATAATCATGGGAAAGCCAGGCACTGCAATCTTACATTACGTCTCTGTTTTATTTTCATAATTAATTTTTGTAGGATTTTTGCCGGGTGGTCGCGGCGGCGGCGGCGGTGGTTTTGGGGGTCGTGGAGGAGGTGGCCGGGGGGGTTTTGGCGGCGGAGGGGGTAGAGGCGGCGTCGGAGGCGGAGGACGTTCAAGTTTCGGAAGAGGAGGCGGCGGCGGTGGTCGCCCTAATTTTGGAAGAGGAGGTGGCGGAGGAGGTCGTGGCGGACGAGGAGGTGGCGGCCGTGGGGGAGGCCGTGGAGGCGGCAAGGGTGGCAAAGGAGGAAAAACCGTTGTGATTGAACCGCATCGTCATGAAGGAGTTTTTGTCGCAAGAGGCAAAGAAGATGCTTTGGTGACATTAAATCTCGTTCCTGGTTCCGAAGTATACGGAGAAAAAAGAATTTCAGTAGAGGTAAAATTTACATTTTTTTAGAACAAGTGTGATTTGACATTCAAACATGATTTTCGCTGAAATTTGGAGATATATTTTGTTGCATGTTATAATACACTACAGTATTGAGAAACGTAAAATACTTCATACTGAAAAAAAAAAACCAAAGTACCAAAATTGTTAAACTGATTTTTATAAAATTTGGTTATAATATTTTGGATACATTTTACTTTAGTTAATAAAATTCTAAGCAAAGGGGCATGCCATGCTGCATATTTCAAGTAAGGTGTATACAGTATCCGGATACTTGGTATTGCTTGGAAGGTAGATATATCCAAACAAAATTTCAAAAAAATTATGTCAGGATGTTTGTTAAACTATAGTACACCATATTTTTTTAAATTAATTCAGAATATCAAAATATTCTTTTCAGAATGATGGAGACAAAGTGGAGTACAGAGTATGGAATCCATTCCGCAGTAAACTGGCTGCTGCAATTCTTGGTGGAGTGGATCAAATTCACATGCCTCCAGGCAGTAAAGTGTTATATCTTGGCGCCGCTTCTGGAACCACTGTGTCCCACGTGTCAGATATTGTTGGTCCCGAAGGATTAGTATATGCAGTAGAATTTTCTCATAGATCAGGTCGAGATTTAATTAATGTGGCAAAGAAGAGGACCAATATCATTCCAATAATAGAAGATGCTAGACATCCACATAAATATAGAATGCTGGTGGGAATGGTTGATACTATATTTGCAGATGTGGCACAGCCTGATCAGGCGAGAATTGTGGCATTAAATGCTCAACATTTCTTGAAGAACAGTGGTCACTTCGTGATATCTATTAAAGCATCATGTATTGATTCCACAGCACAACCAGAGGCGGTTTTTGCCGCTGAAGTGAAAAGGCTGCAAACTGAGCAACTTAAACCACAAGAACAAATTACGTTAGAGCCATATGAGAGGGATCACGCTGTAGTGGTTGGGACATTTAGGCCGCCGCCAAAAAAACAATAAAATTGATGTAACCTTTAATTTGACAGTTTGTCATGTGTGCAAGGTATAAAATTTTTATAGTAAATTGAATTTCATTTTAAAATTCCCATAAAAGTCACTAAACATATACTTTAGTGCAGGGTTTCTATAAATGATTATAGGGTCGTAGTAGGCCATGTAAACGTGCCGCCTCTCCGATTTAATTGTACGGAGATCCGTACTAAATGCCCAAGGACGCATGACAAAGATCACACATGGACCACACACATGTGTATAACTGGTTGCCTAAACGGTTCACGTTTTTAAAAAAATAAAACCAATTCATTACAATAAAAAGAAACAAATTTATTGCAGTTAAACATCACAGTAAATGTTGAAATTGTTCAGAATTCTGTTCAAGGCACATGTTCACTCTCTTTTTAATTTCAAAAATGTTCTGTAACATCCTTTCGTCAATACTTTGAACCACATGTTCAATTGTTCAATTCTGCTCAAGTCATCTTAAATCATCAACAATTTCCTCAGATGAAGTCTTCCACGAGCTTTCTCTTTGTTGATACTGCCAGTTCGAACAAATCTGTTGATTACATCTCTAATGTGAGCCTCTAACGATATTTCTTGAATTATTAAATCACGGTATTTGGCCAGATATTCTTGCTTACAAGCTGTTACAGATACACCCACTCTTCGTTTACGAAATCCTATTGCGATAATAAAACATAACGATGAAAGTGTCTTGTTCAACGGGATAAACCATTTTCATAGTCTTCGCTTCGTAGCACAAACACAAAATTTTCGTACGCAACCACCAAGAGTTCTGAAAATGATTGTTTTGTTGTTTTGAGCTTCGATCAACGAGAATTACTGTAAATCACACTTGAAAAACATTAAATAATAAAAACAACTTTAAATTACAGGTTACAAATGACATTAGACATTAATGTGACAAGTGAGAACTGTCATAATGATGCATAATCACGGGCATAATTTCAGCGAGGCGGGATTTTTGAAATCCATGGCCAACTACGCCCTTAGAATCATTTATAAAAGCCCTGTACTTAGTGCGTGCAGAACGATGCAAGATGGATATTTTTAAAGGTTTTATATTTTATTAAGGTGGACAAGAGGATTTTTTTTTATTATTAGAGCCGCATAATTTGTTTTCATAGTTTTGTTTGCTATTTGCAGTGCAGTATTTATGCGAGGTAAGATGTGCCATTAATGGCGTTCCCCTCCCGTCAAGGTGGTCCCTTACATCTCTAGAAACTTTTCGTTCCAACATATGCAATCAGTATTACTGCAACCCGTCAGTTCGTGTGAAAAATTTTGCTGAACGACCATTTCCCTACTTCATAAAACCACAAAAATTTTGGGCGAATATGCAATCAAATATTTTTGCGTGCAAAGTATGTTCAAATATACGATGTACGACTCGATTATTTGTTATTCTAATTCTGGATTTATATATTCTCAAAAGCAATAGAAGGGCCGAAGTTAGCTTGCTACAGTATAAATGAAGATTATATATGTACAGGGTTGCCACCGAGTTTCTTATTTAGAATTCCCTGACTTTTCCAGGTTTCTCCTGGCCAAAACCACAATATTTTATGATTTAATTTTGATACGTATGCCAGTTGAAAACTTGAAATAATACCGACATAGAAAATGAAAAATAATCCTTTATTCAAACTAGTTAGTAACAAAAATAGATAAATTCCCGGACTTTCAACAAAAATCGACAAATTTCCCTGACTCGTTACAGACTTCCCTGACTTTTTCCTGATATTTTCAAAATTTCTTAATTCCCTGGCTACCAGATTTTCCAGAAAAGTGGCAACCCTGTATATATAAAGATTTTTGTATTGTTAACAAGTACACATGTATAATTCTTTGAGTGCTGTTATAATGATTATAGCTTTACTTTGGCGTCTTTTAGGGAACGCAAGAGCGAGTCTGAAGTCGGTCGTGCGTAAGCCCTATATTTTACGGATTTTCTGGTGGTGCCAGTTTCATTAAACATGTAAAAATTCTTAATAATTTGATGCATGAAGCGTCATCCACAAGGAATGGTTTTTATGGGCCAGTGTTGTGTCGAAATTAAATACCTTGGCAGCGGAATTGTCTTCAGATAATCCGCAATTCTAAGTAATCCCACAGATGCCTTTTTCTATTCAAGTAACGACGCAGTCAATAGTAATTCTCTCTTTTACAGTTAGGTAATTTAAAAATGTTACTTCTGAATTCGTGACAGGCAAGTACAATGATTAAACATGAAGCAAAAATATATATTTTCAGATTTTTGAATTTACAAAAATAAACTAAAAAATTGCGGCAATGAACAAATTTTATAAATCTATAACGTTTTAAACGACTTAATTTTAACTAAGACGTGTATATGTATAATTTTAAATACGAACGAAAATACAAGCAGAACTAGAACAATTTATGCTGAAGCTTTGTATCAAGATAGATGTGTTTTGAAACACATTGCAGTGGCACAGTTATTGAATTCAGAAATTTTCAGTCTTATTTAAAATCAAGTTTAAATGTTCGAAATCTTAGTATTAACATATTGCAAACGACTTTATAACAATGACAGAAACTGGAATGTAGTACTAAGTACTGTTTAAGTGCTGCTACCGTCTGTTTCATCTGTGGAATAGAGGGTTGCTTGTTTTAACGTTAGATGATCCAAATCGTCATCTAAAAAGAAAATGTAGATTATCAAAGCTGAATGTCACAATTATTTGTTACCGGAATCATAATAATCAGATTGAGGTTCTCGTGGAGATAATTTACAACCTCTGGCAAAATAAGAATTCAGCCTATCTTTTGCTGCCAAGATAAGACCCATAAACGGCGGTGAGGGGTCCATGGGTCTTGACAAATACTCTGGGTGGAACTGAACTGCTACGTAATACGGATGAGAAGGCAATTCAAGGATTTCCATACGTTCTGCGTCTATATCTACTCCAACAAATTTTAATCCATTTTTTTCAAGGTCTTCAATGTATTTTGGGTTCACCTCATACCGGTGCCGGTGCCGTTCTTCTATTTGTTCTTTATTTCCGTAAAGACGTTCTAAGAAAAAAGTAGGTTAAATTAACCAGTCGTTAAAATGAAATCAAATACTCACTAATCCTGCTTTGTACATTGGGTTTAAAAACAGTAGTCCGTTTTCCTAGTCTCATTGTTCCCCCCATATCCCCTGTATTATGTTCTGGCATGTCTATTATTACAGGGTGCTTTAAATTTTCTTTACATTCCGCCGAATTCGCATCGTTTAAATTAAGAACATTTCTAGCAAATTCAATCACAGCAGTTTGGAAGCCCAAGCAGATACCCAAAAATGGGTTATTGTTCATTCTACACCATTTGCAAGCTTCAATCTTGCCTTCTACACCTCGTTTACCAAAACCACCAGGAACAACTACACAGCTGAAAAAAAATTGAAACGTTTAATTTTTTACTTGAATGACATAACTAAAATTGGCTTAAATATAGTTAAAGTGATACACAGAAAAATTACACCTTTCGTTTTCGTGTTATAAATAAAATATTACATTATAAAATGTTTCTTCTGTTGGAAATTTTATTAATTTAGCTTAACATTTTTTTCAAAAATATATAAAAATACTCACTCGCATTTACAAAGCTGATGCCAAGCATCGTGGTAAGCTGCTGGGTCTTCGGTCAACATCGCTTTTTCTAAATTGGAAGCTTCAATGAACTTGATGTTCATCTTATACCCAATTTTGTTTGCAGCATGCTGCAACGGTTTTGTAATTGAAGTATAAGAGTCTTCCAACCTCGTATATTTCCCTACTAGCGCAACATTTACTTCATACTTCAGATGCTCAATACGTTCTGTGAGCTCGATCCATTGTTTCATATATTTTCTCACTGGAGGTAGGGGTTTCACGCCTAAATCTAATCTTTTGCATAAATACTCAGCAATTCCATGAGATTCCATAAACACAGGAACTTCATAAATTGAACGCAAATCAGGAATGCTAATTATCTGTTCTGGTTCAACATGACAAAAATTTGAAATTTTGTCTTTTACATCTTGACCTATCGGTTTGTCGGATCTGCAAACGATTATGTCCGCCGATAGCCCTAAACCTCTAACAGATGATTGCGTAGGTTTAGTTTTATGTTCACCGGTAGTACGTGGCTGAAAGTTAATGCACATTAACTACTTGACCTCAATTAAATGGCAGATGATTTACCTGTGGTAGTAAAGAAACGTGTGCCACACAAAAGTTTTCCAGTTTTACGCGAAACTGAAATTGTCTAAAAGCTTCAACAAATGCCATACTTTCTATGTCTCCTATAGTCCCTCCCAATTCTATTATGCACACTTCCGGTATTTTTCCAGATTCCGAAACGGGAATTTTCGCTACTCGTACTACCCATTCTTGAATGGCATCCGTAATGTGCGGCACGACTACCAGAAAATAAATGAACTTAAGTAATACGCACATATTATTAGTGTTTTTGTTTTACCTTGAACAGTTTTTCCCAAGTAGTCACCATGTCTTTCTTTTTCTATGACGGCCTGATAAATTTTGCCCGTTGTAATGTTATTATCACGATGTAATGTGATATTTAAGAACCGTTCATAGTTCCCGAGATCAAGATCGACCTCACCACCATCGTCCAAAACATACACTTCACCTGCAATAAACAAAAACCTTATTACTTACTCGTACGTATATAACACACAGAGAAGATAACTAAAATTTTTATGGGATTTCTAGAACCAGTACCCAATAATTAAGTTAATACGATATCTCAAAGGTTGTTTAGACAAACCATAAAATTTTATTCTGCAAATTTAATTTTAGTTGTGATAACCCCTAATAAAAACATGGATATACATACTACTAAACTGTAGGTAAAGGAACATGCCAAAATAGCATTAGCCATCTCCACAGTGACCTTCAGCGTGTACAAAATTTTGTTTTACAATTTTGATTTTTTCCATAAATCTACATGTGCAATGTTAGAAAACAGGATGGACTAATATAGA